AAGATATTTATTTAGTTGGTAGTGCAGCTATGTATAATACTCTTCAAAATAAAAAGTAAATTTTGGATTTAACATTAGCAAAAATTATGTTAATGCAACATCTGATGAATTGAAAATCATCGAAAACTCTACAAGAGCTAGTATTATTTGATAAAATAATACAAAAATATATATTGATAATGCCCTTTATTACAACAAATCTAGAAGGAATTCGTTTAGTTTTAAAGATATTCATAGCAAAGATATAGTACAATAAGACAATGCAAGAAAAAATATTTAGCCCCTGTTTGGGCTCCATTTTATCCAAAATATATTTTCCTTTCTAATCTTTTTAACTACATATTTTTAGACAAAATAATATTACATGTAAAAGTAAAACTTTTTCTTCCTTTTTAACCACATATTCTTCAGAAAATTACTATTCTAAAATACAATTTCCCCCCAAAACACATAAAAATGAAGCCCATAACCATTTTTTGTATCTGACTAAAAGCAGATAAAAGAGAAACTTCAGGTCCTCCCCTTCTGCATGTACTATATATTTATAAAAATGATTAAATAAAATATTACTATAAACTAGAAGCTTATTGATCCAAAAAAGTTCATACTTTAATTTGATCAGTTTGGACACACAGGAGAGTGATGCGAAAAATAATTAGCAACTCGTATAGATATTTTCCTTGAGACCTGAACAATTTTATTTAATGATTATTCATATGCAATAGCTTGTTTTTACGGCAATTTAATAATTAGACCTTTTACTACAAAAGTTAATATTGAATCTTCTACTTGTTATGAAATTAATTTATAGAGATATGTGATGATATACCCGTCAAATGAATCATTTCGTTATTTTATGATTTTAATCGATTCCTCTACTAGATGATTATACGTTTACATGATTTCCAATATGAAGTAACATTTATTATACTATTTACTCAAATTATAAAATTACGTGCTCGATATCTCGATTGTTCTATCAAGACAATTCGTTTTGATAATGTCAGTGAATTTAGAACATGAGCATTTGATGAGTATTGTATGTCAATTGAAATTGTCATCGAACATTCAATTGCTCATTTCCATACATAAAATGGTTTAGCGAAGTCGTTTATCAAATGTCCACAATTCATTATTAGACCATTCCTTATAAAACAAAATTCTCGACTCTTGTTTGGGGTTGTGCCATTTACATTTTGTATGATTAGTTTGTAAACGACCAAATGCTTACATCTAATATTCACCTTTCCTAATTGAATTTGACATGAATCTAATATTTTTTACCTATGAGTTTCGCTTGTGCTGTCCAAGTCCCGATTTCACCCACTGCGTATCAAAATAGGCCCTATGAAAACTTGAAATTTTTGTTGGCTTTTGATTTAGTATTCATTATTATGTATATTGAACCTTTAACAAGTGATTTATTTCTTGCATATTTTGGATATTGTCATTTTGATGAGCTGATTTTTGCAATTTTAGAAGGACCCAAATTGCATTCTGAAAAATAAATTAAAATTCCTTGAAATGAGACGATTTTATCTCACTCAGATTCTCGCAACAATTATTAAGAGTAAGAGGTTTAAAAAGAATTATTTTGCAAAGAGTTATAAATTAATTAAGAGGTTTATAAAGAATCCTTTTGTAAAGAGTTATAAATTAATTACTTGATGCATATGTTGACACAAGGAAGTGACAAAACCATATTTACCAGCAAAAAATATTTTAGCAAAAATGATGTCACTAAAGGGCAATCTATTATAACAAATGAATCTCAAATGCATGTGAAGTATGGGTCCACTAGTTGGTGTAAAAGAATTGTAACCTTGTGAGAAAGAGTACAAGAATAAAACTAATAAACAATTTCAGAAGGAAGTATAATAGAAAATATATTAATCATTCGAATACTCATAATGTAGTTTCTGCAGAACCACAAATGTATGAAAAAGAATGAGATTTCAATAAATTGTTTGATATCTCATAAACAATGAGAACGAAAGAATATTGTATAGAAAATATTCTCGACTTCAACGTGACTACTAAAATTATGAATGAGGACTATGAACCACGATATGCTAAAGACTGTCACGTAGAAATGATCGGTCAAAATGAAAATAAGCCATAAGCATAGAGTTGAATTTCTTAGAGAAATGAAAAGTTTTTGAATCCGTAGTTCAAAACCTTGAAATTGTAATTCATGAATCCACTCGTACAACTAAAGCTCTAAAATGCATAAAGTATGACTAGGAGTATATATTAAATGAATAAAATAACGCATGCCTTGAAATTTCAGTATAAAATTTCAATTTTCCAACAAACATAATTCTCAAAATAATAAATACTTCAAATCAATAGTGTTTTGTACGTGAGAACAGAACAAAACAAAAAGAAGGAAAACTATGTTTCGTAAGTTGGGTTTGGGTGAGTTTTTCTTGGACTTATTTTCCTTTCAAGTTTTAGCAATGATTGAGTTGAACTCCCCCAGCCCGCCCCCCAAAATAAATAAATAAATAAATAAAACTGCTTAGGGCACTCGCCTTTTCTAAGTAAGCATGTTTTAGACGGTCAAAACTTAAAGCTAAGTGTCTATTTTTTTGCCTAGAATAAGATGGAATGTTTTCCTCATGACACCAAGCCTATGTGAATTGCGAACTGTTTGAACGTTGTCAATGGTTCCCAAAGAAAAACCAATTACGATCAATTGTTGCTTCCAAAAATCACCATTGCCACCAAAAACATATCGTCTATCTCAGAACTAGTTACCCCCTAAAAACCCAATGCTTTATTCCCAACCTTCCACCTCCCATTTTACACCAACAGAAGACGTGCATCAGAGAGTAAGGAATCAGTGAAGTGAATTTCCTGACTGAAATTTGTAACTCTATTTGTAAGTCCGTAGTTATGACATAAATAAATAAGTTTTGAAATATGTTTTTTAACATAAAGGTTTATTTTAACTAACATTTGATTAATTATTTTAACTTAATTATTATTATTTTTTAATTGCAGTGTTAAGTGTATTGTATTGCGTTTTTAATTTATTAATAAATGCAATATTTTAATTAATTAAATATAATTTTTAATTCAATAATTTTAATTATAAGATAATTTGTAATACAATTTCTAAAAAATAATTGTTGAGAACTAAAAAAATAAGGAAATAAATGAAACAATGTTCAATGACTTTATAAAATAGTATGAAAAATGTACCAATTTGATGCTAAGCAGCTAATGGTTAGAGATGATCTGATAAATGTGTGGTTGTATTCTAATTAATACTAAAAAAATGAAGATGTAAAGCGGCGTAATGATAAATCATATTTTCAATCAAAAGATAGATCTACATAAGATTTGAATGTAAAGTGGTGTAACGGTACTTGCAAGATTGGCACATTTACCTTATCCGCGACAAATTTAAAAAAAATAAAATTAGTAAACATTATAAAAAAACATTTAAATAATTTTAGAGAATATAAAACACTAGATGATAAGCCCTCCGCTTAGTTTGCATAATAGGTTGCAAGAGTAGCCTAAGCCCTCGTTTGACGTGGCTTAAAATTTATACAAAAATTTAAATGAAAATTAATAATTAATTTTTGCCACATATTTTAGAGTAAATTGCCTAAATGGTTACTGAATTTTGTAAAAGGTTTCTAAAGAGTTATTGAACTTTAAAAATAACTTAAATAGTCACTGAACTTTGTAAAATATTTCTACAGGATCACCAAACTTTAAAAATCACTTAAATGGTCACTGAACTTTGCAAAAAGTTTCCTAAAGTACTATTTAAGTAATTTTTAAAGTTCAGTGACTCGTTAGAAATCATTTGCAAAATTCAGTAACCATTTAGACAATTCACTCCATATTTTATGTCTTGCAAGATTGGCACATTTACCTTATCCGCGACAAATTTAAAATAAAATAAAATTAGTAAACATTATAAAAAAAACATTTAAATAATTTTAGAGAATATAAAACACTAGATGATAAGCCCTCCGCTTAGTTTGCATAATAGGTTGCAAGAGTAGCCTAAGCCCTCGTTTGACGTGGCTTAAAATTTATACAAAAATTTAAATGAAAATTAATAATTAATTTTTGCCACATATTTTAGAGTAAATTGTCTAAATGGTTACTGAATTTTGTAAAAGGTTTCTAAAGAATTATTGAACTTTAAAAATAACTTAAATAGTCACTGAACTTTGTAAAATATTTCTACAGGATCACCAAACTTTAAAAATCACTTAAATGGTCACTGAACTTTGCAAAAAGTTTCCTAAAGTACTATTTAAGTAATTTTTAAAGTTCAGTGACTCGTTAGAAATCATTTGCAAAATTCAGTAACCATTTAGACAATTCACTCCATATTTTATGAAAATCGTAATTTTTATCAAATTTTCAACTATGCATTTAATCAATTTTTATTGAAATTTACTAAAAATATATAATAATTTGGCCCATAATGCGGTGTCTTCACTACTTGAGTTAATTGTTTATGTTCATGTGTTCGATTGCTCACTGAACTTAGGCCTACGTCTTAGATTACTCAATAAAATTTAAAATGTCAAGTTTTGATCACTAAATATTGGAATATGCCGTACCTTACTTATTAACATAATTCAAAATTTAGTGGTTAAAACTCAATATTTTAAATTTTGTTAAGCAATCGAAGATATGGACATAAGTTCAGCGATCAAAACTCGACAGTTTAAACTTTAATGACCAATCAAAAATATTGACCTAAGTTTAGTGATCAAAACTCGATATTTTAAATTGTAGTGATCAAAATTCGACATTTTAAATTTCAATGATCAATAAAAAATATTGAGCTAAGTTCAGTGACCAATTGAATAATTAACTTCGATCGACTCACGCTACAAACTACTACACACGATGCTCCAGGACAGGAGTGATGAGACCCTTAACGTTAGAGTTTAACATTTTTTTTACTACACGCTAGTTTTCCCTGTTTTTCTATTATAGAGTTTAGAATTGGATAAATGATTACGTAACGTATTTATTGTAGACACAGATTACAAACGAATTTAAAGCAAAGAATTATTCATTCACTCCAATCTTTCTTCATCTTTATTCTCGTTTTTCTTACATTAATCATCGTGTCATACATCACTAAAGGTTCATCCTTTCAATTATTACTTTTTCCCCCATGAATTTTTTTATTGGTTTTAGTTGCAGTTAAATTAATTTGAAGAACTTGACTTTTTTGGGCAGTGATATTCAGGTGGAATGGCCAATAGTTTATTCAAGCAAGAGCATGATCTTGGTTTGTACTGTCATTTGATCATTTGTATTATTAGTTTCTTCTACTTCCTAATCTGGGAAAAAATAATTGTCTTTTTTGTTAATAATTAATGTTTATGCATTGTTTGTGTCCAGAAAAGAGGCGTGCTGAGGCTGCTAGAATTAGGGAGAAATACTTGGATAGGATTCCGGTGAGAACAAGGCCTCTCCCCTCGATGATTTCAAATTGCATACATTGATGAGACATTTTGGAAATTGATTTTATGCTAAATTTTCCTGAATATCGTGCCTTTTCAATTATTTCTATACCTTCTTTACTAAGCATCAAGCTTAAGGGGTTTAGACATCATTACTATGAGATTCCAATTCACTAGGGACCTATGTTGATTTAGTATGTTTTCAAGTGCATTGTCCTTGATCAATGTACATGTATCTTGTTATACTCTGGACCAGATCTGAAGCTACTTTGTTGAAAGCAGAACAACTCTGATACCACTTTATTGAGAATCCGGCCAAATAATTAAAGAACGAGAAAATATAGACAATATGAAAATAATGGATCACAAAAAAATAAGATTTACATGGAAACCCAAATCCGGGAAAATCATGGGCTGAAGTGGAGAATTCACTATAATCAATAGTAAGGAATTACAAAGGATTTATTTGGACCAATAACTAATTGGACAATTGGTCAATTTCAATGTGTGTTTTATACCACATATTTATAGCCAAAGGATCCCTAACATTTTAAGAGAATTAATACATAAAGAATTTTAAAATAAGGTAAAATCCCAATGCAATGGGTAAAACCAATAGTGAATAACTTGGGATAAAATAGGAGTCAAATTTACTTTAGACTCCTTCAAGACATTTTCAAGTCTACTATCAACCCCTAATACTACTTCAACAGTATTTTCAATCCAATACTGAATAAGAATTAAGGTCACTACCAAATTCTAACAAACTCCACCTTGATGCGAACTGTATTGTAAGGAATAAAACTTAATTATTCAACTCCAACGAAATTCTCCTAACAAAAACACTCTACCAACAAAATTATATCTCTTCCACCATGCCGCTCTGGCCGTACTCAGCAACCGTGAACAAATTTCAAGTCTGCTTACCTGCAAGATTACCTTGTGCACCAAACCTGCTTGAATAATCTCGTTCATTACAAGCTCCAATCGAGTCACCAAACCTGCTCAAATCACCACAAGCACTTTCAACTTCACCTGAGTTGTCAAACCTATTTGAATCACCACTAGCAACATGATTAACAAGGTCACAATTAGCTTCACCGAGCTACTAGAAAGTTCTTCAATATCATTGCTCGAATCACCACAAGTAACCCGATCAAAACCAACTCTACCCAAGTTACTGCTTATCGAAACATAAGCTACAACTGCATTCAAAGTGATCGTCGAACCTTCCAAGTTATATAATCGATCCTTACATTGCTTTTTCTCCAGCATCTTAATAAAAAAATCTGTTATAACTAAAAATCTTGTTGCAATCCAAAAGCTGAACTTAAATTTCATACTTGTCATCCTTGAAACAATTGACCTTGCTTCAATCTTCAACCTCTCTTTAATATCCAATTTGGACCTTTCAAGATCTCGTAAAAAACCTTCAGCTCTGAAACTACTTGTTATAATTCGGACTATATTTAAAACCACTTCGTTGAAAGCGGGACAACTTTGATACCACTGTGTTGAGAATCTGGCCAAATAATAAAAAAAAGAAAAGAAAAAGAAAATATAGACAATATGAAATAATAGATCAAAAAGAAAACAAGATTTATGTGGAAACTCAAATATGGGAAAACCACGGGTAGAGGTGGAGAATTTACTGTAATCAATAATGAGGAGTTACAAAGGGTACAAAGGATCTCTTTGAACTAATAATTAATTGGACAATTGGTCAATTCCAATATGTGTTGTATACTACGTATTTATAACTAAAGAATCCTTAACACAATAGAAGAATTAATACATAAAGACTTTAATATAAGGTGAAGTCCCAATATAATGGGTAGAACCAATAATGAAGAACTTGAGATAAAATAGGAGTCAAATTTAACTTGGACTCTTTCAAGATATCTTTAAGTCTACTATCAACTCACAATACTATTCCAACAGTACTTTTAATCAAATACTCAATAAGAATTCGGGTTACAACCTAATTCTAACATATCCTATACAAAACTACTGGACAACCATTTGCTGTCAAATGATACTATGTTGATTTTTAAACACCATCTTTCATTTGTGTATTTCATAGCCCAATTTGTCTGTATTTTTATCTGATAAAATTGAAGATAATTTTACTAAATAAAGGATCGGCAAAAAAAAATGCATTTTTTTTTTTTGCTTTTTTCAATAAAAATACTTTTCAATCTATTTAACCCCTATTTGATTCAACTAAAAAAGTTGATAAAAATCTAAGTCAAAGTCAACAATAAATTTGAACCATATATTTCATGGGACCCACGACCTTTTAACCACACATTCCATCAACTTTTACAAAAACTATTTAAAATTTGATTTTTACCTAAACCGAACAAGGGCTTAGTTTACTGAGTTTTTGGATCATTATACAGAAGAGAGCAGACGGTTTTCACTTGTATCAACGATGTTTTGGGTATGAAGATGTTTAATTGATGGATCATGAGTGCTGCTGCACTTGCATCCTATTTTGCATTGAACACATTTTTTCCTTTTCCAGAACTTCATTGTATCTATTACTACTCTCTTTAAGATCCTGGAAAAAAGATGCAGAAATTCTTCACAGTAGACATATCATTTGGTTTCATTTGTCATCTTGATTTTTCAAGCTAAGTTTCGAAACATGGACTGCATAACCAACCAAACCATCTTGAGTCAATAATGGATATTGCGCTATGATTTCAATAATTTTTTTAAGAAAAGTTAACACTATAACAAACTATTAATTATGTTCAAGCATGGTATTTAAATGTATAAGATGCATTTTGCCTTTCCTAAACACTTAGGCCGTGTAGGAGCGTGTTGACCTTTCTTCATCTGGGTTCTAGGCTATTCGAGTTTAGGTCGTAACCATAAACAATGCTTGAAAATTGATAGAGACTTGCATATTTTACAGTTGAATTTGAATGATATTATCAAGTTGAATCATATTGGAGCTTGGAGTCTCAGCCAGGTTGATTGATATGCATTGTATTTTGTATACTTTGATATCTTAAAATTGTCTACACGTGTGGGTCAATATCTTAAAATTGTCTTCAAGTGTGGCTCGTGTTGCGTGTTGTCACACCTGTCCTACCCACCTGGGCCAGTGGCCCACTCATCCTGATCCACGTGGCATTCCTGCCGAGGTGGATTTTCCCCTTCGGAAAGGCTTCATTTAAGAAACAAGAGTACTTGTAAACTTATTGCATACCCGTATCCATTACGTATCCATGTTTGGATACACTTGGACACTTTCCTCTATGTATCAGATACGTGTTTTTAATTATTTTTTATATATTTAAATTTTCGATAGGTATCCAACACCTTTGGACACATGAAAAAGAAGAGTTTTACTGGTTTTATATACACACACACACACACGTATTCAAATTAGGTATCCTAATTCATGCTTCTTAGGGCATTATTTATTTTTTGGACTTCTTATTTGGTGGGATGGGGATTGCCAAATTGCCAGTGCTCTCTTTACAGCTCTACCCATTTTTTAAATTTGAGTTATTCATACATACAAAAAGTGGGTTTTCCAAAATCTTTCTCAAATTATAGGCATGGAGCATATGGAAGATCTATAGATATGACTGTCCTGTCACTACTTCAACACATTTAAGTTGACAGTACTATAAATTCAAAGATTTCGAATGACTTAATAATTTCTCTTTCCTGCAATAGCTCATCTTTTTGATTGTTGTTATTTTCACTATGCTTTGTCACACTTCATAGGTGCTCAAATCTTTTAGTATTATGTTGATTATGGATGTCATGTAACATGGTTGTGGCTTTCTATAGCAGTCACACCATTTTTTCAGAACCTAATTCGATTTTTACATAAACTAACGCCAGTAAAATGTTTTGTACGTGTTTTTGACATGTAGGTGATTGTGGAGAAGGCAGAGAGAAGTGATATTCCAAAAATAGACAAGAAAAAGTAAGCCTGTACATTGTTGGATTTCCTCAACATTTTCTAAGATAATTCTTATGATATAGCATTTTTATTGGATTCTAGTCGTGGAGACCATGCTTTAGTGCTGCTTGGATATCATACACAAGTAGACGTATCATTATATAGTTTAAAGAGAAGACATTATTTATCTAGAGAAAATTTTAATAAAATGAAAGAGCATGAAAGGGTAGTGCTTCTTTGGAACTATTACAATATAATTGCAATCAGATTTTTTGTATGGTAAAGATCTAAGTTTAATACTAACATAGTGTGTGTAAAATATTGAGATATTGTCAACTTCAAGTTGGTTAACTGATGGTACTGAATTCTCAACTCTAGTTGGCAATTGAATGTGCTGAATTTTTATAGTACATAAATTTGGGTAAGGATCATTCCAACTAACATCTATTAAGTTATCCAATCTGTACGATTATAGTTTTCCAGTTCTACTATCTGCTGTAAATAATACTAAGCCCTTGTTTGAGCCCCATTTTGGGGGAAAGAATAAATTTTTGAATAGTGTATTAATGGGAAATGTCTGGTTAAAAAATAAGAAAATTTTTTTGATTTGCGTATAATATTATTTTATTGAAGAATGTGTGGTTGAAATGATATTAAAATACTGTTGAAAAATTCATTTTCCCCAAAGAATGGGGCTCAAACAAAGGCTAAGTTCCATAACCTCTGTAATCTTGCATGCACACAAGAAAATTCGATAATAATTGGACGCGGGCATCATCACTCTTGGAAACTTGTTTGAAAAATCTATACTTTTAAATCCAAGAAATTGCCATGTTATAGCTTGGGAACTAGTCAAATTCTCTTCTTTGTCACAAGTTCTTCAGTTTCATTATACAGTAAGACCTCTCTATAGTGATACTTTATACAAATAACCTCTATGTAGTCATATAAATATGGTCCCAACTTGGATCAATTATAAGAAAGAATAAACTCCACATTGTAATAAGTTATATTTTTTCTATGTCATGTCCTAAGGAACTTGCCTCCATGTAGTTATAATTATCTTTATATTGTGAAAAATTTATGCTATGTTACATTAAAGTTTTAAGATGAAATAAAATATTTATCTAAAAGTTATTTGGGATAATGATGTATTCTTTAGAGTTGTTACCACATCTTTAAAGAGAATCCGAAATTTTAGACTTTTAATGACCTGCATATTCCCGACACTATATAGATATATATACTAATATTTTGAAACTATGTATATTTATTAATTAATTGTTAATGTAGTACATACTTTCTCTCTATACCACTTGCACTAAGGAAAACTAAGTAAAAATAATAATTATTGTAACTTCAACTCTATTGAGTTGTAACCTTCTCAAAGTAATAAAATTAGTTTGGTCCCAATATTGTTACTATATAGAGGTTTTAGTGTCAATGGGAATCACCTCTTGAAATAATGGCCATGATGTCGGACTTGACAAAGGAATAAGAAAGAACAACTAACTGTATGAAAATTATTCTGTAACGGCACGTAATCTTCCAGCAGTAGCTGTCCCACTATGTTGTTCATATCAAATACTAGCATTTTTGGTTTTAATTTTTCAGATTCTGCTAATTTTGATCCTTAATTTGCAAAAGATGCATAATGGTATGCTATTAGTAGATTCCGAACTCCATTAATTCACAATCACAAAAACCAATTTACTCTCATTAGATGTTGCAAGTTGAGCTAATAAATGTATCATCATTTCCATCCATTTTTGTTGTTCAACAGACCTCGGTTCATTTGGTTTTTCTTTCCTTTCTTTTTGCCCATTTTGCGAAACGCCAAAAGAAACTATGTTAGGGAGGCTAAGCACCCCCTCTGACAAGTTACATTGTAGATAATAGCTCCCGAAGAAACCAAGCACCACCCATTGTCTTCACCCAGGAAGACACCGAAGGAGTTCATTACCCCCACTGCGATGCGCTGGTAGTAAGGGCGGTCATAGCCCGAAATGGGCTCAAACGAATGCTTGTCGACAATGGCAGCTCCGTCAACATCTTATTCGGGTCCGTCTTTGACAAGATGATATTGGACCATCAGTTGACACCCACCACCACTCCATTGTACGGATTTACCGGAGATAGCATTACTCCGAGAGGAAAGATAACACTGGCAGTGGAGATGGGAGAATCTCCTCAAACTACGATGAACTTTATGGAGTTCCTCGTAGTCGACAGCCGGTCGGCTTACCACGGGGTCTTGGGCAGACCGGCCCTAAAGGAATTGGGAGCAGTCACCTCCATCCACCACCTATGCATGAAATTCCCAACAGAAAATGGGGTGGCAACGTTGAGAGGCGACCAGAGAGGTTCGCGAGAGTGCTATCTGAGCTCCATTAAGAAGGTGGAGCCCCGAGACGTCCATGTGATCGTGGCTGATGTGGTTATGACGGATGTCTCAGGTGACGCTCCCACTGACCAGGAAGATGTTGATATGATTTGACGCACTCCTCGTTCAGGAGGCGCTGATCGATGAGATCGACCCCCGCATAATGGAACATGAGCCCCAAGCATCCCCGGTAGAGGAACTTGAGAGCTTCTCAGCCGACCCTCGAGATCCGTCCAAGGTGCTGAAAGTAGGCAGGGGCTTATCCGACATTTTGAGAGAAAAGATTAAAGATTTCCTAGGCAAGAACCTGGACGTCTTCGCCTGGAGACATGAGGACATGGTTGGCATAGACCCCAAGGTCAGCTGTCACCACTTGAAAATCGACCCCAATTTTACCCCGCATAGACAAAAAAGGAGAGCCCTCAACCCAGAGAGGTATGAGGCCCTGAAGGAAGAGGTTCAGAAACTAATCCAAAATGGCTTCATCAGGGAGGCCACCTACCCGAAGTGGGTGTCCAACCCAGTCTTGGTTAAGAAACCCAATGGTAAATGGCGAGTGTGCATCGACTTCACCAACCTTAATAGAGCTTGCCCGAAAGATAGCTTTCCGCTTCCAAGGATTGACCAATTGGTGGACTCCACGGCTGGGCACGAGTTATTGAGCTTCATGGATGCATACTCCGGATACAACCAGATCCCCATGCACCCGGCTGATGAGGAGCACACCTCTTTCATCACGGATCGAGGCCTCTATTGCTATAGAATGATGCCTTTCGGGTTAAAAAATGCCGGAGCAACTTACCAAAGACTCGTGAACAAAATGTTCGCCGACCTCATTGACAAGACAATGGAGGTCTACGTGGATGATATGCTAGTGAAAAGCTTAGAGGCAGAAAGCCACGTATCGCACCTCAACAACACCTTCCAAATCCTGAGAAGGTACAGGATGAGGCTCAACCCCTT